TTTCTCCTCAACTGTCATTATCATGGTAGAGGGTCAATTAGAAATTGTTGTTCCCATCACTTTGTTGGCTGGCATACCAATCGGTCTCTTTGTGTGGTTACAGTTTCCACTTCTTGTTAAGATTTCTATCTCAACTTATGGACCAGGGATCTTTGATAGGAAAATGAAATGGCTCTAGTTAATTATTGGTGTATTTATGTTTGGGAAGGATGTGTCGAATTGTAATTATAAGTGATACTAATTTTATGTTTGGTGTCAATTTTCAGAGACATGGATGGGGAGGATTAAACTCCTCAACCCCCCCTTTATTTTCTGTTACAGTTTCTTGTTGCCAAAACCTTAACAAGCCTGGATTCTAATGTCTCGCTCTTAGATTGAAAAAAGTATAAGAGAGTTTTTCAATGGTGTTTCAATATATGAAAACAACTTCAATAGGTTTTTCAGAGATAGGTAATTTCCAAAGCGTAGAACTCAGGGCAACAACTCGATTCTTCACATCCGATTCTTCCACCTGTCACTGATTAGCAGTTGCAGTTTCCTCAATGGATTGCCTTTTTTAATTTCCTAATTGATTATAATAAAAACTTTTTAAGCTATCTTGAATAATAACAAACGTCTAATGATTCCAAGGTGCAATTACAAGGTAGGCTAGAGAAACATCAAATGTAAATAAAATTTAGAATTATGTAAATCTATTAACTCAAAATTATTAATTTCTGTCAGAAATATCTGCTTTTAGGTTGGGGCTAGAGCTTCTCTTGATACCAACAATCTCTCTGGCAAGATCCCACAGGAGATTGGAGAACTCACTTCTCTCAATGTCCTAAATCTACAAAAGAAACAATATTTCAGGTTCCAATGTCCTAACTCTTGGTAAAAAAATTTAAATTTTTAATAAAAAATAATCAAAATATACATTAAAATCAAAATTCTTTATCTTAATTTTTAGCAAAATTAAAAATAATAAAAAATATGAACAAAGTATTATGTTATTTAATGTCTACGTTGCTTCCTGCATGAATAAAAAGAAAGAAAAAAAAGGGCTCGTTTTAAACTTCAAACACTTGGCAAACTGCCATGTTTGCAGAACTTTGGAAAAAAATGATGGTTTTCGTTTTAGCTAACTATGGTTTTCTTTTACCTTATTATAAATTTATTTTTTGTGATTATATATATATATATATATATATTTGTCTTTACATTTTAGCCATAGTCATCACTATGGTGAATTTGTTATTATTTTTTGAAATTTTGATTTTTGTTAATTATTTATCATCATGAATTTCATTGCTTTATATAACCTTATATTGCTTTATAGCTTCATGTATATATTTATCCATTTCTTTTTGTATTCATTATTATTATTATCTTATTTATTGATATCATCACTTTCTTTATTTCTTTTGTTTTTACATTTTGACTAATTGGTAATTAAGTATATATAATTTTCATTTAAAATTAGAAATATTGGAATTTCAAATTAAGACCCTCCAATCATACTGGTGGGATCTTAATCAAAATCCCTAACCTAAGAAAATTCATTCAGAATTGCGACTTCTCCCGTTCCGAATGGACATCCCATCAT